TTTAAGATGGTGATATGAAAAAAAAGTTGAGAAAAAATTATCTAGGTTCCGTGTGATGGCTCACGCCTATGATCCCAGTACTTTGGGAGGCCAAGGCAGGCACATCACCTGAGGTCAGGAGTTCCAGACCATCCTGGACAACATATTGAGGCCGCATTTCTACAAACATTTAAAAACATGCTGGGCGCGGTGGCTCACGCCTGTAATCCTAGCACTTTGGGAGGCCGAGGCAAGCAAATTACCTGAGATCGGGAGTTCAAGACCAGCCTGGCCAACATGGTGAAACCCCACCTCTACTAAAAATACAAAAAATTAGCCGGGTGCAGTGGCGCAGGGCCATAATCCCAGCTACTTGGGAGGCTGAGGCAGGAGAACTGCTTGAAGTCAAAAGGCGGACGTTGCGATGAGCCGAGATCGCGCCACTGCACTCCAGCCTGGGCAACAAGAGCGAGACTTCAGTCTCAAAAAAAAAAAACCAAAAAAAAAAAAATGTAAATATTAGCCAGGCCTGGTGGCACATGCCTGTAGTTCCAGCTACTCAGGAGACTGAGGTGGGAGGATCGCTTGAGCCCAGGAGGTGGAGGATGCACTGAGCTGAGATCGCGCCCCTGAACTCCACCCTAGGCAAAGTGGGGAGACCCTGTCTCAAAACAAACAAACTTTACATTTCTGAGTGATAAACAGCATGGGCCGCCTCCGGGACCTGCTCGGGTGGGACACTCCAGGCTGCCCTTAAGAAACGGGCATCTCGGTTGGAGCGCGGGTATGGGGTACCCCCCTCCCCCGCCACGGCCGGGCAGCGCGGGCCGCCCTTCCGGCGGGGATCCCCGCGTCTCTCGGCCTTTCCCGGAGCCCCACTGTTGTGTTGAAAGAGACCGCCCTTCGACGCGGAGTCCGGCTCCACAACCACGTAAACAAATTGTGGATCCAGACACCACGAGCGGCAGAAACAAAGGCGTCCCCACAGTGTTCCGCCGCCCGCTGAGGAGAATGGGCCGCCCGGCGCAGAGCTGGTGAGGGACCGAGCGCGCCGCCTTCAGCGCGACAACACCACGGTTCGTTTTGAACTTCTGGGGTGCGATCTCCCAAGGCTTCCGCCGGGTCCACTCACTGTCTTTCAGCAAATCAAATCTTCAAAACCTACTGCCGGCTAATTTTTTTTTTTTTTTTTTTTTTTTTTGAGACCGAGTCTCGCTCTGTTGCCCAGGCTGGAGGGGCAGCGGCCGCGATCTCGCTCACTGCAGCCTCCGCCTCCGGTTCCAGTGATTCTCCCACCTCAGCTTCCGAGTAGGGTGGATTTACCGCCCCACCACACCCGGCTAATTTTGTGTTTGTTCGTTTGTTTGAGACGGAGTCTCGCTCTGTCTCCAGGCTGCAGTGCGTGGCGTGATCCCGGCTCACTGCAAGCTCCGCCTCCCGGGTTCACGCCATTCTCCTGCCTCCAGCCTCCCGAGTAGCCTGGGATTACAGGCACCTGCCCCCCGCCCGGCTAGTTTTTGTATTTTTAGTAGAGACGAGGTTTCACCATGTTTGACCAGGATGATCTCAATCCTTTGACCTCGTGATCCGCCTGCCTCGGCCTCCAAAGTGCGGGATACAGGCGTGCCCACCGCGCCCGTTAATTTTGTCTTTTTAGTAGAGATGGGGTTTCACCATGTTGGCCAGGCTGGTCTTGAATTCCCTGATAATAGGTAATCCCGCCGCCTTAGCCTCCAAAGTGGTTGGGAATTACAGGCGGAGCCACCGCCGCCCGGCCTTTTTTTTTTTTTTTTTTTTTTTTTTTTTGTGACGAGTCTTGCTTTGTTGCCCAGGCTGGAGTGCAGTGGCGCATCCCGGCTCACTGCAGTCTCTGCCTCCAGTGTTCAAGTGATTCTCCCCCTCAGCTTCCCAAGTAACTGGATTATGCCCCACCAGCCCAGCTAATTTTTGTATTTTTAGTAGTGACCGGGTTTCACCATGTTGGCCAAGCTGGTTTCCAACTCCTGACCTCGTGATCCGCCCGCATCAAGCCTCCCGAAGTGCTGGGATTACAGGTGTGAGCCCACCGCGCCCAGCCGGAGTCTTCATAATTTCATTCTCCATTTGGAAGGATGCTTGGCCCACTGCTTACCAGCTCCACATTTGTGGCTTCATTTCACACTTTGTCCATCCAGTGAATGTTCAAGTACATTCCATTTGCCTTGTCCTGGGATGACCAGAGGAGAAAAGATCCCTTTCCTGGAGAAGCTTCGAATCTAGCAGGGAGATGAAGAAAAATGAGTAATTTTACAATACAGTCCACAGCTACAAGTTTCAGCAAGTGCTATGTACTACAGTGAGAGCCCCTAATTGGGAGCTATTTGAGAGTTGGGGAGAGTTGCAGAGAAAGTGATGCGTAACCTGGGATTTGGCAGGTGATAGGGCCTGGTCAGCCAGAGGGAAGCAGGCTTTGAGGCTAAGAAGCCAAGGGCCTGGAGCAGTAGCCTCCAGGCTGGAGAGGCAGGGAGCAGATTCTACTTGGAGGACAACCACTGAAGGCTCAAGCAGCACAGTGACACAGTCGAATTCATGTCCTTTATTTATTTATTTTTTTTAAGGATGGGGGCTAAGGCAGGTGGATCACTTGAGGCCAAAAGTCCGAGACCAGCGTGGGCAACACAGCAAACCCCATCTCTACAGAAAATACAAAAATTAGTCAGGCATGGTGATATGTGTCTGTGGTCCCAGCTACAGGGAGGTTGAGGCAGAAGGACTGCTTGAGCCTGACAGGAAAAAAAAAAAAAAAATTAGCCAGTGGCTCACGCCTGTAATCCTGGCATTTTGGGAGGCTGGGGCCAAGGGATCACTTGAGGCCAGGAGTTCAAGACCAGCCTAAGCAGTGGTAGTGAGTGCCTGTAATCCCAGTTACCCGGGAGGCTGAGGCAGGATAATCGCTTGAACCCAGGAGGTAAAGGTTGCAGTGAGCCGAGATCACGCCACTGCACTCCAGCTTGGGCGATAAAGTGAGACTCTGTCTCAAACAAACAAACAAACAAAAAGGCCGGGCCTGGTGGCTTACGCCTGTAATCACAGCACTTTGGGAGGCCAAGTCGGGTGGATCATGAGGTCAGAAGATCAAGACCATCCTGGCTAACACGGTGAAATGCCGTCTCTACTAAAAATAAAAAAACAAAATTAGCCAGGCGTGGTGGTGAGCACCTGTAGTCCCAGCTACTTGGGAGGCTGAGATGGGAGAATTGCTTGAACCCAGGAGGCGGAGGTTGCAGTGAGATGAGATCACACCACTGCACTCCAGCCTGGGCGACAGGGTGAGACTCCGTCTCAAAAAAAAAACAAGAGAAAGGGAGGAAAAGTAATCGAATGTATGAACTCATGCTATCATAATTTTAATGTCTAGCTGTAAAAGCATATGGTTGTAGCAATAGCTATCTAAAATTTTTATGAGCTACAGTAGCTGTTTTCCATTTTCATTACAATTTTTTAAAGTCTTTGCTTGGTTATCTAAAGATGTTGTTCAAATTTCAAAAGATCTACTATTATCGTCCTCCTTGTGCCCCTAAGGAATTGATAAAATGCACATTCATTTCCTTCTTTCTAAATGTTCCAGTTATAAACTAAAAAATAAAAAAATGGGAAACATTTTCTTGGGCCATTTTTGTTTTCACTGTAACAACAAAAAATGTGCAAGATAAACAGAACTCAAGTTTTGTTTTATTTTTCTTTTTGTCTGTTTATTTTTTAACAAGTCTGTCCAGAATACTACAGGTTACATAGCTGTAACCATCTTAAGGAAAATGACATTAAGTTTGCAACAAATACTTGCTGGTGAAAACACATTACTATCATTTCAAAAATTTAACAAAATATCCTACACAGCTATCTTTAGATTTGTAAATGAAATATAAACAACTGGCTTAACCAGTTTCCACGCGCATCAAACAGGTGGCAAAGTGATAGAGATCATCTTTGATTTTTAAAGGAGAATAATAAAAACTAATTTATATCGCACACATTACAATTCTAGGGGATTAGGAACAGGATAACACATGATGTCATCTACTTTAGCAGCCTTTTCATTTACTTGTATTGTCTTGATACTTTACAATGATTTTTTTATTCCTATAACAGTATTGTTGCTATAAAAACCATACTTCTTTTATTTATTTATTTTTTTGTATTCCCTTAAAGAAATAGTGTGATCCATTTCCCATTAGATTTCATAAACACACGTGAAACTTCAGACATAATAGGAGGGTGGTGGGTTTTTTTCAGTTTCTGAGGCCTTCTCTCTGAAACATCAGAGCTGATAATAGTTCGGCCTATACATGCATGCTGCCATAGATAATTGGGTGGTACCTGCACCTCCTATTTGTGGGGAAAAGAAAGAGAGATCGCCTGTTACTGTGTCTATATAGAAAGAAGTAGACATAAGAGACTCCATTTTGTTCTGTATTTGAGATGCTGTTAATCTGTGACCCTACCCCCAACCTTGTCCTTGCAAGAGACATGTGCTGCGGTGACTCAAGGTTTAACAGATTTTGGGCTGTGCAGGATGTGTCTTTGTTAAACAAGTGCCTGAAGGCAGCTTGCTGGTTAAAAGTCATCACCATTCTCTTAATTTCAACTACCCAGGGACACCTACACGTACACGGCCAAAGGTCACAGGGACCTCTGCCTAGGAAAGCTAGGTATTGTCCAAGGTTTATCCCCATGTGATAGACTGAAACAATGCTGCTAAAAGGTTTATGGAGATGTTTGCATATGCATCTCAAGGCACAGCATTTTCCTTTAAACTTATTCATGTCACAGAGGTTTTTGTTCATATGTCTTACTGCCGATTTCCTCCCTACAAAGATCCTATTGTCCTGCCACTCCCTTATCTTTAAGATGGTAAAGATAATTATCAATAAATACTAAGGGAACTCAGAGACCGGTGCCGGCGTGGGTCCTCTGTAAGCTGAGCGCCGGTCCCCTGGGCCCACTTCCTCTTTCTCTATACTTTGTGTGTCTCATTTCTTTTCTCAAGTCTTTCGTTCCACCTAACGAGAAACACCCACAGGTGTGGAAGGGCAGGCCACCCCTTCACTATTTCAAAAACACAAGCAGAAAGTAGGTCCAGACAAGGGCAAACTGCTACTCAATTTCTGCTGCAACCCCATCTCAGGTCAGTTATGTTTCTTCCGTCACTTTGCTGATAGTCAGTGAGTCTGTTGAGGCCTTCTTCCTGCTGTTGTAGGGCATCCAGGACAATGCCCGTTGGTGTCCTCTTCAAACCTATTACTTCCATTTTATTCTCCAGTGTGTTCCTGAGGTTCCACAGTCTCAACGATGCATGGATAAACATCAACAACCAAGGAAAAGTGATGCCAAACACAAAGACCGTGACTCCTCCAAACATGGATATAAGGAAATCGCTGGTGAACATGACCACCATAAGGAACGTCGTGGGGTGGCCTTCTTCATCCGGCGAAGGATGTCTTTATTGTGGGCTGCTCACACAAACACTGTGAATGCCAGCACCACCACGATTCCTCCCAGGATCATGTTGAAGGGACTCAGAAACCCCACGACGGAAATCATCATGGCAGCCACCACCAGGTAGTTGGTCTGGCAATAGAGCAGGTTGCTCAGCACGTGGTTGTTCCATTTGCAAATGTCCCTGAAGTCCGGCCAGGCAAAGCAATCGGAGCTCGGGAAGAAATCGTCCCAGGCGTGGAGTGGGGTGATATTCTTTTCTTTTCTTTTTTTTTTTTTTTTGAGAGGAGTTTCGCTCTGTCGTCAGGCTGGGGTGCACTGGTGCAATCTCGGCTCATTTCAACCTCCAACTCCTGGGTTCAAGTGATTCTCCTGTCTCAGCCTCCTGAGTAGCTGGGATTATAGGTGCCTGCCACCATGCCTGGCTAATTTTTGTAGTTTTAGCAGAGACGGGGTTTCACCATGTTGGCCAGGCTGGTCTCAAACTCCTGACCTCAGGTGATCCGCCTGCCTTGGCCTCTCAAAGTGCTGGCTATGTTTTTATTTCTTAAAATTTTTTTTGTGGAGATGGGGGTCTTGCTACATTGCCCAGGCTGGTCAACTCCTGGCCTCAAGTGATCCTCCTGCCTCAGCCTCCCAAAGCACTGGGATTACAGGCATGAGCCACTGCACCTGGCCAAATTTGCATTTCTTTGACACACTATTAACTGCATACTTAATATCCAGTACCTGTTGTATTAATGGAACCTTGATTTTGTTCGTTGGCTTAGCCTAGGTGAGATACCCATGTCTGCAACCTCCCTGGCAGCCTGGGGTGCCATGTGGCATAGTTCTAACCAATGAGCTGTAACCAAATGTGTTGGTGCTTCTAGGAAGTCCTTTGCTTTCCTCAGTATATGGAAAAATATAGCTAATGATCCATATCCTTTTTCTTTTCTTCCTACTTTGACTGTACATGTGATAGCTGGAGCTAGGGCAGCCTTTCTGCCATCATAAGATGACAAGCATGAGGGAATGGTCAAGGTAAATGACCCTATTTAAGCCACAGTAACTCTCCCACTTGCCGCTGAAAGTGCTCTTGAATGATGAAGCAGGCTGGCTGAGCATCGGTTTGGATGCCGTATGATAGTCCTTCATTTGTCTCTCCAACTCCTTTCTATAGGGGGAGCTCCCTGGGACAAGGAACCACCTGGCAATTACCCCCACTTCTGTGTTGCAGAATGGATACAGAGTGAGTGCTCATGACCTGAGTCTGGTTTCTATTGCTTATGAGAGAATACCTGAAACTGAAACTAGATATACCTAATTTATAAAGAAAAGGAATTTATGTATTTCAATTAGGAAGTCCAAGGTTGAGAGACCACATCTGATGAGGACCTTCTTGCTGGCGGGAACTCTGCAGAGTTCAGAGGGCGATGCAGGGCATCACATGGTGAGGGGCTGAATGTGCTCACATGCTCGCTCAGGTCTGTCTTCCTCTTCTTATATAGCCGCCAGTTCTGACCTCTCTTCCTCTTCATATAAAGCGGCCACTTCTGGCCGGGCTCCATGGCTCACACCTGTCTTCCCAACACTTTGGGAGGCTGAGGTGGGTGGATCACTTGAAGTCAGGAGTTCGACACCAACCTGGCCAACATGGCGAGGCCCTGTCTCTACTAAAACTACAACAATTAGCTGGGCTTGGTGAATGCCTGTAATCCCAGCCACTTGGGAGGCTGAGGCACGAGAATTGTGGAGGTTGCAGTGAGCCAAGATCGTGCCACCACACTCCAGCCTGGGTAACAGAGCAAGGTTGTAAAAAAAAAAAAAAGCAGTTAGTTTACCAGGAATCCATTCATCTGTGGGAATAGAGCCCTCGTGATCCAATCACCTCTTAAAGGCCTCACCTCTCAATACTGTCACCTTGGGGACTGAGTTTCAACATGAACTTTGGCGGGAACCCTATTCAAACCATATGCAAACCATATTCAAACCATCTTCAAACCCAATTCAAACCCTATTCCTACCCTATTCCAACCCTATGCAAACCATATGCAAACCATATTCAAACCCTCTTGAAACCCTATTCCAACCCTATTCAAACCCTATTCAATCCCTATGCAAACCACATGCAAACCCTATGGAAAGCATCTTCAAACCCTATTCCAACACTATGCAAACCACATGCAAACCATCTTCAAACCCTATGCAAACCATCTTCAAGCCCTATGCAAACCATCTTCAAACCCTATTCCAACCCTATTCAAACCATCTTCAAACCCCATTCAAATCCAATTCAAACCCTATTCCAACTATATTCCAACCCTATTCAAACCATATTCAAGCCCTATGCAAACCATATGCAAACCATCTTCAAACCGTCTTCAAACACTATTCCAACCCTATTCAAACCTATGCAAACCATCTTCAAACCCTATTCCAACCATAATCCAACCATATGCAAACCCTATGCAAACCCTGTGCAAACCCTGTGCAAACCCTGTGCAAACCCTATTCAAACCATACTCAAATCATTGCACTCATTAAGTCTGTTTTGAAGGAAAGAGTGATATGATTTAATTCCATATGCAAACTGTTTTTCCACTGGAGAGTCCAGGATGATTCTTCACTTTTCTAGGGTAGGTGGCTCTTCCTAGTCATTTCTTCAATCAATATTCTCAAACTTGATGGTCTTTTTACTCCTTTATTAGGACCAGAAATTCTCACTCTCTGAAGCTGTGCCTCTTAATCTTTTTCACATTATGATCCACCTGGCACATGATACTATTTGTTGTACAACACAGCATTGTAAATGGACAGAGCCTGCTTGCTGCAGAGGTAACCCTTGGGAAGTCTGGCTCCCCCAAATTTTACCTGCTCATCTCTGGGCCAAGGGCATAATATCTCTGCACAGCTAAGAGCCCAGTGGCCACACTAGTCCAGACGCTCCGCTCTGCTCTGCACAGAGATGAAAGTTCATCGACTTCTCAGTGACGAATATCATGAGTTCTTTAAAATTTATGCCAGTACAGGCCAGGCGAGGTGGCTCATGCCCGTAATCCCAGCACTTTGTGAGGCCAAGGCGGGCAGATCATTTGAGGTCAGGAGTTCAGACCAGCCTAGACAACATGGTGAAACCCCATCTCTACTAAAAATACAAAAATTAGCCAGGCACGGTGGCAGGTGCCTGCAATCCCAGATACTCAGGAGGCTGAGGCAGGAGAATTGCTTGAACCCGGGAAGCCACTGCACTCCAGCCTGGGCAACAGAGCAAGACTCTGTCTCAAAAAAAAAAAAAAGCCAATATAAAGACAGACACAACTACATAACAGTTCTAAATGTTTGGCTGCCACCTAGTGATCGAAAATGGATTTGGGTTTCTAATTATCTGGAACTTGACAGTACCCATCCATCCATCCATCATCTGCCCTTCCACCCACTTATCCACCCTCCCACCCACCCATCATCCACCTACCCACCCATCACCCACCCAACCATCCACCCACACACCCACCCATCCATCCACCCACCCACCTTCCCATTCTTCCATCCATTTATCTTTATCCACTTTTTTCCTTTTTAAACCCTTTGTTTAAGTTCAAGGGTACATGTGCAGGTTTGTTACATAGGTAAACGTGTGTCATGGGGTGGGGGGGTTGTTGTACATATTATTTCATCACCCAGATATTAAGCCTAGTACCCATTAGTTGTTTTTCCTGATCCTTTCCCTCCTCCCACCCTCCACCCTTATGTTTATGCATCTTTTTTTTTTTTTTTTTTTTTTTTTTTTTTTTTTTTTTTTTGAGACGGAGTCTCGCTCTGTCACCCAGGCTGGAGTGCAGTGGCCCGATCTCAGCTTACTGCTAGTTCCACCTCCCGGGTTCACGCCATTCTCCTGCCTCAGACTCCAAGTGGCTGGGACAATAGGCACTGCCACCACGCCTGGCTAATTTTTAGTATTTTTAGTAGAGACGGGGTTTCACCGTGTTAGCCAGGATGGTCTTGTCTCCTGACCTCGTGATCCGCCTGCCTCGGCCTCCCAAAATGCTGGGATTACAAGCATGAGCCATCGCACCCGGCGTGTTTATGCATCTTTCAATACATCCATCATCCGTATCCATTCTCCCATCTATCCATCCGTTCTGGCCTACATGCCTTAAGTGATTCGGCCCCTGCCAGTCTTTCTGACCCCGTTTTGTATCATTATCTGTGGATTTAAGTCTCCCATGATTTCTTTCTGTTCCTTAAATGCACCAACTCTGTTCTTTGCATGTGCGAAGAACTGGACTGGTTTTTCCGGACTGATTTTGTCCTAGTCTTGGCATGTCTGGCTTTTTATCATCATCATTCATATCCAAGCTCAATTAAACTTTTCAGACACACTTTTTCTAGCCATTCTAAAATACGCATCCCTCCCAACCTCAAGTCCCTGTGCCACTTCACACAGTTTTCATTTGTTTGCCGTTCTTATCACTTCCCAGTATTTTCCTGTTGGAGTTTTATTTGGTATTGTCTGCCTCCCCTCCCAGAATGTAGCTAGAAAACTACATTTCCTCTAGAAAGCTTGTCTGTGTTGCTCACAGCTGGATCCCAGTGCTCATAACAAACTACCCTTAATGTTAGTGACTTTAAACAAAAAAAAAATCATTTCATGTTGTATTAGTCTGTTTTTATGCTGCTGATAAAGACATACCTGAGACTGGGCAATTTACAAAAGAAGGAGGTCTCTTGGACTTACAGTTCCACGTGGCTGGGGAGGCCTCACAATCATGGCAGAAGGTTAAAGGCGAGTCTCACACAGTGGCAGACCAGAGAGGAGTGTTTGTGCAGGGAAACTCCCCTTTTTAAAACCATCAGATCTTGATAGTGGGATTTATCAACTATGAAGAGAATAGCACAGGAAAGACTTGCCCCCATTATTCAATTACCTCCCACTGGGTCCCTCCTACAACAGGTGGGAGCTCAAGGTGAGAATTGGGTGGGGACACAGCCAAACCATATCACATGTTCACCCTGCACAGCCGCCGTGGCTTAGCACTGTTGCCTCACATCTCTCATTCAGAGACCTGGCTGGCCAAGCCTCCCCCCTCTGGAACTTCCTTCATGCCCCCTGCAGGGAGAAGGGAACAGGGGACAGTGACGTGTCCCAAAAGGCACAAAGTGACCTGGGCTACTTTTTGCTCACGTTTCAGTTGTCAGAGTGGACACATGGCCATACCTAACTTCAAGGGTGTGGGGAACTGTAGTCCCACCACGTACCTAGAAGAGGAACCAGACCCAGAGGTGACCGAGGCTCATGACTTCCACCTTGGTGAGGCAGCCACACGCAATGAGTGCCCTGAGGGGCTTTGTTGGAAGGGGCAGCTGAGTATAGACTCTCCTGATGCATGAAGGAGCCGGGGTCAGTTCTCCAGTGGTGGTGGGCGGCGTAGGAAAGGATTCACAGAGAAGCTAACACGGCTTGAGCCTGGAAAGAGCAGCGGCTGCTCACCCGCATGGTGGAGCTGGGGCGGGGGCGGGCACTGGGCAGAGGAGCCAGCCAGAGAAAAGGCACGGAGCCCTGGAGCTGCGCCAGGACCTGTGCCTGTGGGGAAGGGGTGTGTGTGGCTTTGAGTGACGCAGTAGGTGGTGGCGAATCTGGAAAAATGGTCTGGGTGCAGGTCTTGGAGGGTCCCATGTGGACTTGATTCTTCATAGGTAACAGGGACAGTGTAGCTTGCAAAGTAGGGGAGGGATGTGCTCAGAATTGTGCTTCAGAAATGAGAATCTGGAGGCAGATGGGGTGATCGAGGGCAGGTGAAATCAAGGGCCTGTAGACGGTTGGGAAACTATCCACAGTCATCCGGGTGAGACATGAGGACTGAACGGAGGCAGAAGCAGCAGGGATTTCACAAAGGAGTCGAAGACCACAGATGCTGGAGAAGGGCGGTGGGGAGGCCGTGGCTGTTGGTTGGACAGGGGCTGGGGGAGGGGAATGAAGTATCCGCTGGGCTTGCTGAGCTGGGCATGGGTGAGTTGGGGGGCAGAGGACGCATCCAGGTGGACGCTCAGGCCTGTGAGTACCCCAGGAGCGCAGCTGTGTGTGTCTCCTGCCCCACAGACAACCATGAAGGGGTGCTGGTGTACATGTCAGCTCAAGGTAGGAGGAAGGGCTGGGTGGGGCAGGGAGAGAAGGCCCCAGACCTTTCTACCAAAGCCTCTTTCCCCGGAGGAGCACAGGCTGGGCTCTGGTTCCTGTCCTCCCTGTCGTTCCTGACTCTGGGTAACCTTGCTGGACCCCGGTGACTGTCTGCTTCCAGGATTCCTGCACAAGACTGATGCTGCCTCGTGAGCTTGTGGGGACTCTCCCATGCTGAGCTTTTTACCTAAAAAAAATAGCACATGACTGCATGAGTATATTCTCTTTTTTTTTTTTTAGTTTGTTTTTTTTTTAGTTTGTTTTTAATTTTTTGAGTTGGAGTATCGCTCTGCCACCGGGGCTCCAGTGCAGTGGCACAATCTCGGCTCACTGCAAGCTCTGCCTCCCAGCTTCAGGCCATTCTCCTGCCTCAGCTTCCCGAGTAGCTGGGATCACAGGTGCCCGCCACCACGCCCGGCTAACTGTTTTGTATTTTTAGTAGAGATGGACTTTCACCATGTTAGCCAGGACGGTCTCAATCTCCTGACCTCCTGATTCGCCTGCCTCGGCCTCCCAAAGTGCTGGGATCACAGGCGTGAACCACCGCGCCCGGCAACTACATGAGTATATTCTCATTGCAAAAAATCAAAACACGGAAAAGGAAAAGTCCAAGTTTCTGTTCTCCAAACCTCCTTACCTGCCCCGTCCCCCACCTGCCCAATTCCTTCCCTTCCCTTTCTGGGTATCATATAGACAGTTTCCTTCGCATTTACTTACAGACACAGACTTATATGACAAGTAGTTTTGTTTTTGGTGTTTCCCTCTTAACATTTTGTCCAGAAAAATGTACAGAAAAGTTGAAAGAATTACAGAATGAACACCCTTATAACCACCTAGGCTTTAGAGTAAACACTTTGCTATACCGCGTTATCAAGCCCCTCCTCATTTACCCGCGCCTCCTCTCCTCCATCCATCCTTTCACGCTTTCACTTTAGCATGCAGTGAGTTGCACCAATCTGGAGTCAACATTGCATAAGGATTTTTTTGTTTTGTTTTTGTTGTTGTTTTTTGAGATAGGGTCTTGCTCTGTCTCCCAGGATGGAGTGCACTGCCACGCATGATCTTGGCTCACTGCAACCCCTGCCTCCTGGGCTCAAGCATTCTCCCCTCTCAGCCTTCTAAGTAGCTAGGACCACAGGTGCACACCACCACGCTTGGCTAATTTTTTATTGTTTGTAGCGGTAGGGTTTTGCCATGTGGCCCAGGCTGGTCTTAAACTCCGGAGCTCAAGCTATCTGCCCACCCAGGCCTCCCACAGTGCTGGGATTACAGGTGTGAGCCACTGGACCTGGCCTATTTCTTTACTTCAAAACCTCAGAAGATAACTTATCTCAAATAAAAAATTACTAAAATTCAGGATTTCTAATTGGCTGATTCTTTTTGTTTTTAATTTGTGGTAAGAACGTTTAACATGGGATCTACCCTCTTCACAAATTAAGCGTACAATGCAGTATTATGAACTCCAGGCACAAGGTTGCGCAGCAGATCTCTAGAACACGTTCATCTTGCATAGCTGAAACTTTTAACCCACTGAACAGCAACTCCCCACCTCCTCCTCCCCTCAGCCCCTGGAAACCACCATCGTACTGTCTGCTTCTGTGAGTTTGACTGTTTTATTTTAATTAATTAATTAATTAATTTTTTTAGACAGAGTCTCGCTTCGTCGCCCAGGCTGGAGGGCAATGGCTTGATCTTGGCTCACTGCAACCTCCGCCTCCCCGGTTCAAGCGATTCTCCTGCCTCAGCCTCCGAGTAGCTGGGATTACAGGCACCTGCCGCCATGCCCAGCTAGTTTTCACAATATTTTTAGTAGAGACGGGGTTTCACTATGTTGGCCAGGCTGGTTTTGAACTTCTCACGTCAAGTGATCTGCCCACCTCGGCCTCCCAAAGTGCTGGGGTTGCAGGCATGAGCCACCACGCCCAGCTGGTTTCTTTTTTTCTTTTTTTTTTTTTGAGAGAGAGTCTCACTCTGTCCCCCAGATTGGAGTGCAGTGGCATGATCTCAGCTCACTGCAACCTCTGCCTCCCAGGTTCAAGTGATTCTCCTGCCTCATCTCTTGAATAGCTGAGATTATAGGCATGCGGCACCACGCCCAGCTAATTTTTGTATTTTTAGTAGCAAGAGACTGGGTTTCACTATATTGGCCAGGCTGATCTCGAACTTCTGACCTCCGCCTCTGCCTCCCAAAGTGCTGGGATTAGAGTCATGAGCCACTGTGCCCAGCCAGCGGTTTCTTTCTAGGTAGATGGTGATATCATCTTCAAATTATGGCAATTTATTCTCACCTTGCAATCCTTATATCTTTTCTTTCCTTTTCTTTCCCTAGGGCATTGACTAGGACAATGTATTTCTGTGTTAAACCGTAGGAGATTACTGAGTATTTATGTGCTAATTAATCATGACCTTAAAAGATTAGTTAATTAAGGATCTTTGCAATTTTCTTTACCAAGTAAAATTTTGATGTAAGGTTTTGGTATATGAAATTTACTAGTTGTGAAAGTTTCTTCCAGTCTTAATTGGCTAAGAGGGAAAAAATCATAAGTAGGTTTTGAATCCTATCAAATTTCTTTCTGAATAGACTGAGATAATTATATGATTTTTTTTCTTTTTAATGTGGTAGCTCACGTTAATAGATTTTTTTGATGTTGAAAAATTCTTCCCAGGACTTTGAGAGTCTGAAGCAGGAGGATCACTTGAGTTCAGGAGTTGGAGACCAGCCTGGGTAACATAGTGAGATCTCATTCCTATTAAAATAAAATAAAATATACGTGTGTATATACATATATACGGGCGGGTCACGAGATCAGGAGATCGAGACCATCCTGGCTAACACGGTGAAACCCTGTCTCTACTAAAAATACAAAAAATTAGCCGGGCGTGGTGGCGGCGCGCCCTTGAAGTCCCAGGCTACTCCGGGAGGCTGAGGCAGGAGAATGCGTAAGCCCTGGGAGGCCGGAGCCTTCAGTGAGCCGAGATCCGTCGTCCCACCTAACACTCCCAGCGCTGGGCCGCAGAGGCGAGAACTCCGCGTCCAATAAATAAACTAAGAGTAAATATGGAAATAATTTTAATATACGTGTAACTTCAGTATGTCAAAGTAGCTGTCATTGCAACCATGTTGAGTAAATAAAACAACAATGAAAATATTTCACCTCTCTGTTTTTGCACCTACATTTTTTGTTTGTTTGTTTGTTTTGTTTGTTATTGTTTATTGAGACGGAAGTTCTGCTCTGTCCGCCCAGGCTGAGTGCAGTGCCGGATCCAGCTCACCTGCTAAGCCTCCGCCCCTCCCGGTTCACCGCCCCAATTTGCCCTCACTGCCTCAGCCTCCCCAGAGTAGCTGGGGACACAGCCCGCCATCCGCCCCCGGCCTAGTTTTTTGTATTTTGCGTTTAGTAGAGACAGTGGGGGGTTTCACCGGGTTTAGCCAGGATGGTCTCGAATCTCCCCTGACCTCCCGGTGAGCCACCCGTTCCCAGCCCCCCCAAAGTGCTGGAATGACAAGGCTTGAGCCACCGTGCCGGCCCTGCACTACTTTTGAAAATCTGATATTTTGTTGTGCAAATGAGCACTTCCTAATTCAGACCACGAAATTTCATAAAGAAAAGAAATGATTGATGTTACGGTTCATACAATTTACCAATTTCAAAAAAAGTAGAATTCCAAATACTCGAAATCGTTTCAACATACCTCCTGGCCCAGCGCCTCCGCCGCGTGAAGCAGCCCCCGGACTGCAGGCCTGCGGAGCCCCCGCCCCGTTGTCGCCCGAGAGGGCTCCTCCCCGGACCGGCAAGCCGCAGAGCCCCAGGGAGGGCCGGAGCCCGGAGGACCGGAGCGAAGGCCCGAGGACGGCGATGGGGGGCGAGGCGGGGGCCGAGAGGGCGAAGGACGGCGATGGGGAGGCGGGCCGAGCCCCGGGACTCCCGGGGCCGAGGGGGTGCGAGAGCCGGCCCGCCGCAGCCGGAGAGAGCCCCGCCACCCTTCCCTGAAGGCGCGGGCAGGTGAATGAGACCCCAAGTGCGGACAAAGGGCGGGGACGCAGAAGAACTCCCCTCAGACCGTACGACTTGAGGCGAGACCGACCCCCTGGGGAAGCTCCCGCCTCGGACTCCGCGTCCCACAGACCCCGGCGGCCCAGACCGGGCCGCCGGAAAGAGGCCGCGCTGTTGACACCCGCGGTGAGGAAACGCCAGCCTCCCTGCCATGGCCCAGGCCTTAAGCCCGACCCCCAGGCCATTCGGGAGGGGCGGGTCTGGCGCCGGGACCCAGCACGCCCTCCTGACCGGGAAGCGCTGCCCCTTCTGGCGGGTCCCCAGCTGAAGGATGCGATTATGCCGAGAAACCCGCTCTGACAGACCTCCGACCCAGCGCCCGGAGCCCCCAGGCCCACTCGTGGGGGGACTTGAATGTGCTGCCCGGCGCACCCAACCCGGGCACCCGCGGATTGGCAGCGAGGGACAGCTTCAGTGCGACGAGCTGGTTCCGCTTGAGCACGCCCAGAGCTCTCGCCGGGGTGCTGGCCGGCCCTTGGACGGCCCCCCAGAGAAACACTTCCTCTCCTGTCCAGGAGGGCCAGGTCCCAGGCGCCTCAGCTGAGTGTGCCGCTGACGGGGAATTCTCTGTGAACCTGGTAGAAAAAGTCCGGTTGCAGGCCCCATCCATCCATCATATCCATGTTATCTTAGCCTCCGTGTTCTGAAGAAAACCAAGAAGTCCATGCAGCAAAGCGTGGATTTTAAGCGGCTTTTAAAATTGTAATAAGGAAGCCTAACCTCCAAGGAAGCCTGGAACTTAAGCCCAGGCTCCAAGCAAACTTACACTGGGCGCACCCCACCGTCCCCTCCCAGGGTAACTGAGGAGCATACGTAATTGGTTTCCACAGGTATATAATTGGGGGGGTGGTTTTGGATTGTAAAAGAATTTCCTAGGAACCCAGTGAGAGTCAGCTTCCTTTAATGGGCCGTCTGACAAGAATGTGCCTCCACAACCACCGTGAAGTATCTTATGGACAACAACTTTTGTGCTATCCAAGATGTCCATTCAGAGCTCTGAACAGTCCGAATACGTTGAGTGGGAGCTGTTAGGTGGATGGGTTTTACGTAGTATCACAGTGTGGGCATTTGGTACTGTGTCAATAGGCACGAAGTAATCGAATGCAAAAATAAAGAAAACTTCCATTTTGAAAAAGAAAAAGCCAGCCCCGGCACGATGGCTCATGGCCTGTAATCCTCCAGCACTTTGGGAGGCCCGAGCCGGCCCGGATCACGAGGATCAGGAGTTCGAGACCCCAAGTCCTGCCCCAGCCATGGTGAAACCCGCCGTCCTCTAACCCACCAAATACGAAAAATTAGCAGCAGGAAATAGTGGGCCCTGCACCCAAGGCCCCCAGGCTGCTTCTGGAAGGGATGCTTGCTCTCCCCAATGCACGTGTGGCCCCCATTTTGCTACTGATACATCACACTGCACCCCAGTTTAAGTGACCTGAAATCCAGACCTGTTTTGTTGAGATGACTGGAGGAATATTTTTTCCCTTGTTTCGTTTTTTTTCCCCCTGAACGTAAGAGGTGAGCCACATGGAGGATCCCTGATTCACTTCACGGACCTCGAAAACCCAGCAGGCAAGGAGGCCCAAGGCCCTGCAGGGAAGAAAACCTGTTGGCTCCTAAAAGTACCCAGCTGTCCCCGCAGCTTGGTCAAAGTAAGCCCCTGTTTGGCGAGGCCGGGGCAATGGCCTTGAGATCACAAAACCAGCCCTTTTAACCCATATCAGTCAGTTTAGTAGAAACCCCCCTAAATAACCACGTGGCAAAAAAAATTTGAAATTTACTTTAAATATTCAGTTATTTTCCTCAGATGGGACTTTTTTTT